AGATAAAATCGATCAGTGAGAAGAAAAATTGTTGAATCTGAGAAAAATGAAATTACTTCCACTCACATTTCACATCGATAGAAGTATATTCAGATGTCTTCCTTCCCAATGTATTACCAGCTATACAGTAATACTGTCCAGAGTCAGAGGGCTCGATGGATCTGAAGGCAAGCTCGGGTTCTTTACTGAGAGGTGTTCTTCCATTTGTCTTGTACCAGACATACATAGCTGCTGGGTTAGCATCACTGCTGCAGGTCAGAGTCACTGATCCGCCCTCCTTGATTTCACCAGAGGGACGCACTGACACAGAGGGAGGCTTTGGAGCATCTGGAGGAGGAAACAAAGGGAAATAAATACATGGAATTATTTCCTTCAAAGGCTGAAAAATTGACCAAATCAAAAACCTCAATGAATCTAATGCAGGGGCTTCTCAGTGAGTAGATGGCTTTAGTAGAGAGATGTTCTCAGCCACATTATCACTTTATGATCAGATCTAGACAAACGACACTATTTAAACAACCCCATTTCCTAAAAGAAACTGGCCAGATGTTTACCAATCTGCAAAAAAGGTCTAACCTCTAATGTCTGCAAAGTGTCTAAAAACTGTGAAAACATTTCAGAAAAATATTTTTTCATATAAAATTGTCAAGACTTTGAAGACATCATCGTGTACAGTACATCAAATCATCAAAAGATTCTGAGAATTTTGAGAAATCCTCCGCTTAAGGGATGAGGCCAAAAATCCATATTAGATGCCTGTGAGCTTTGGTCCCCCAGACAGCACTGCATCAAAAACAGGTAACATTCTGCCATTTAGATCACTGCACAGGCTCAGGAACACAGTTCACTGCACCATTCGCAAGTGCAGATTAAAGCTCAATGATGTAATGAAGAAGCCATATATATACAGGTGTATACAGGCATATAATAATAATAATAGTAATAGTAATAATACTACTACTACTACTACTACTAATAATAATAATAATAATAATAATAATGATACATTTTATTTATGAGCGCTTTTCAAGTCACCCAAGGACACTTTACAATAGGATAAAACACCTAGTAAAACAATGGCAGAATAAGAACAATAAAATAAAAGCACAAGATAAAATGAACAAACAGTGGATTCACAGTGAATATGCAGATTTGAACAGATGAGTTTTGAGTTGGGATTTAA